GCAAATGTAACCTAACCCTAACTCAAACTCAAACTCTAACCCAAACCCTATACCCTAACCTTAACCACTACCCAAACCTAACCCTAACCCCAACTCTAATCCTAAATCCAGAGCCTTACTACAACCCTATTCAAATCCTACCCTATCTCAACACCTAACCCTATCCTGAAACCTAACCCTAATACTACACCCAAACCATAAACACAAACCTAACCAAACCCTGAACATAGCTCAAAGCCTAAGCCTAACCCTAACAGTAACCCTAACTCCAACTGAAACCCCATCCCTAACCCTAACCCTACTTCTTATTCTACACCCTAACCCTAAACCCAACACCAACCTTATCCCAACCCTAACTCACACTCTAACCCTAACACTAATACTAATCCTACACCCTAACTCTAACCCCAAACCTAACCTAACTCTAACCCTAGCTCAAACCCTAACCATAACCATAACAAAAACCGTAATCCTACACCCTAACCCAAACTCTAGCCCTAACCCTAACCCTAATCCTACATCCTAACCCTAACCCTAATCCTACCTCCTAACCCTAACCCTAGCCCCAACTAACCAAACCCTAATCCTAACCCTAATCCTGATCCTACACCCTGATCCTAATACCAGACCTAACCTAAACCTAACCCTAACTCAAATACTAACCCTAACCCTAACTACAACCTAACCTAACCCTATTCCTAACTCAAAACTTAACCATAACCCTGACCATAACCCTAACCCTAATCCTATACCCTAACCCAAACACTAACCCTAATGGTAACCCTCATCCTATACCCTAACTCTAACACTAACCATAACCATAACCAAACCATAACCATAACCTAATCCTAACCCAAAATCAAACCCTAACCCTAACCCTAATCATACACCCTAATCCTAACCCCAATACTAACCTAACCTTAACCCTAACTCAAAACCTAATCTTAATCCTCATCCTATTTCTAATCCTATACCCTTACCCTAATCCCAAACCTAAAATAACCCTAACCCAACTCAAACCATAACCCTAACCCTAACACTATTCCTCAACCCTAACCCTAACCCCAAATCTAACCTAACTCTAACCCTAGCTCAAACCCTAACCCTAATACTAACACTAACTCTAATCCTACACCTTAACCATAACCCCAAACCTATCCTAACCCTAACCTTAACTCAAACTAATTCGAATTCTACACCCTAACCCTAACCCCAACCCTAACCTAACCCTAACTCTAACTCAAATCCTTACCCTAACCCTAAATCTAACCCTCATCCTAACCCTAACCCTTAACCCAATCCTAACCTAACCCCAACCCTAACTCAAACCCTATCCCTAACCCTAACCCTATACCCTAACCTTAACCTCAAACTTAACATAACCCTATCCCTAACTCAAACCCTAACCTTAACGCTAACTCTAACCAAATCTTACACCCTAACAATTGGTGCTGACCTACCCTTTGTACTCCAAGGATGCAGCCAGAAGATTTACAATAAAAGCTGGTGTATAGTGAGACCACAGTGGGACAGTGCTCCTTAAAGATATGGCTATTACTACAGGTGTTGAAGGTGATGGGGCTGATTTTCTTTTCTTTTTGAAGTATAGTTTAACAATAAAGACAATTCTAGCAGTCATTCTATCACAAGTAGTGTTACTGTCATTTCTGTGACCACTTAGAGATGATCTAGAACACTCTACCCTGCACAGAAATTCAGTGAGGATCAGAAGTTTCTAACATGGTAGTTTTTACACCAAAAACAATCCAAATATACAGTACTATCAGTGCAACTGTTATTACATGCTCTTTTACAATGTCTGCAATGTCTGCCTTCATATTTGCTTTTCATGTGTACAGTATTCTACAGCTATTAGGAAACACACTCAATGAATTTGGTACCTCATTTGATCCACTAATAACTCTGAAGTAGGTATGATTGTCCATATTTTAGAGATGATTAAATTGAAATGCAAGAGAGAAATAATTTTTCCAAGATCATCACTATACAATGCCAATATGGTATTTGAATATAGATCATCTGTCCCTTAGCTGGTGTTCTCTTCCAGTACTACACAGCTGCATCCCCAGTTTGGACTGACGTTTTACAATGAAGAAAAATAGTATCCCCCTCCTTTTAAATAATTAAGGAAATTAAAATTCAGCACAGTAAACCCATGGATCATTCTGGACTAGGAATGTGAGATTTAGTGTATAAAAAAATGTTAGTGGTAGGACACAGTGAAGAGGAATTTGACTTTCTTCTAATTTTTTTTTCTTGGAATGATTCAAGTTAATGCCTGTTTTCTTAATATACATAGTAATAGTTCCCCCTCATACTCTTAATTTTTTTCCCTGTTCAAATAATGAGTTTTATCTTACCATTAATTCAGGGAAGGCTTTTTTCTTTTCCTTTTAAACCAGATCGAGATTTAACAAAATTCCTCTAACATTTACAAAATACCCCTAGAATACCTAGTTATGAGTCTTTCTGATAAGAATTCTAGGATTATGGGGACCAGCAGTTAGTGTAATGGCTATGTTACTAAACTCCCATATAGTTGACCACAGTTTGAGTCCCAGACCCCATGGCTTAAACTCATACCGGGCACATATGTGTGTGTGCCCAAGATCCTGAGAGGAGAAATGAGGAGAAAGGATTGTGGTGTGGCCATCCCCCCTGGGGGGTGATTTCTCACTTTCTGTCTCTCTGTCTCTCTCTGTCTTCCTGGTGAGTACACATGCACTATAGCAAAAACCTCTTCAAAAAAAAAAATCGATAAAAACTCAAAAAAAAAAGAATCCTAGGATTATAATAGTTTAGGACTGTGATTTATAGCCAAATAAAACCAACAAATGAATACTAAACCATTTATCATAAAGATAAATGTCTTCTGATTTTCTTGAGTAGATAGTTTCCAGTAACCAGTATATAGATTTGAAGATGCTACTCCAAACAGAGCTAATGTCTCTCTTGAGCATAAGTCACAGACCACCATCACATTATACAAGGTGTTCATAAAATATGCATTCCAAGAGATTATATGGGAATCTACATTTGTGGTGAGCTCCACAGGTGTTCTGATACACACTACCTTTTGAAAACCACTGATAGAGCAGAAAGTGGCTTTAGAAGGTAGGTCTAGGTTTGGGTTTTTGAGTTTCATCTCTAGCATATTGTGTGATCATGAACCAATTATGTAACTTTTTAAATCAGTTCCTTTTCTGGACACAGAGAAAAGACTACTTGCCTAACAGTCATTTTTGCTTTAAATTAACATTTTTTAGTCTTCTTTCTCAAAGTAATAAATACTCCATTAGTCATTCAGCCTGCTTAAATTTATTCCTTAAAGATAAAAATCCTTCAAGGTTTTGTATCTTCAACTACCCTTACTAAAATAAAAGGGCAAGAAAATATAACCATTAGTCCTCCCAGTATGACATGGCCCTGGGATGTTGAGCAGTAAGTTTATTTCAAAGAATTTCACACTCTATCATTTGAATGATTTGTTTGAACTACAAGAACTCTTAATAATCCCAAATACTACCTAGATTGTATTAGGATTATCAACTGACCATAATCCCAGGAGACTGAAAGTTTTGAAGGTATGTGAGAAAGATGTCACTCCATTTATGAGACACAGATACTCAAGAAATTATATATCCAAAGTCACACAACTGTTATATAGTAGGTTCATGATTCTAATCTAGAATCCTGACATCAAAATCAGTGTAACTCTTTCCATAATGCTATACTTCCTTTTCAAAAATACAGATGAAAATGACTATGTGAAAATCAGCAAGTTGTTCCTTTGGTTAAAAACAGTAGCAAAACAAGATTATGTAATCTTATCATTCTGGCCCATTCTTCTAGCTTAAAATAAAGCCAAACATACAGTATTTTAACCTTGAGTCTTATGGTATTCAATCAGTGCTTTAAAAAGGCACAGACCTTACAATTAAAAAAGGCTTAAAAAAGTTTTACATTGTTTACTCAGTAGTTACATGCTTAAGCATTTAGCATGTGAAAATAAAAAGTGCACACTAGAGATTTATATAGCATAACTATTCTCATTAATAGCAAAAAAAAAACTTTCTCAGTAACTAACCAATTTGCTTTTAGCCAGGATGGAGTAACATGGCTGGATTTACCCTCCTGCCCAATAAAACAGATACAAAAATTTTTTAAAAATACATTAGAATAATAAAAATAATGATTGGGGAAAACAGAAAAGATATGGAATGTTGAAGTGGGGAGATTAATGTCTCTGTACTGACTGACATGCATGGCATTCCCTTTTGAAAAAACAATGTAATACACTGTAAAGTTATATGTAATCCAATGTAATATAAAGAAGATTATGATGATAATAAAAATAAAACAAACAAAAAAAAAGAAAATAAAAAAAATACATTAAGCAACAGTTCTTAGAACATTTAAGTCTGGGCAGTATGGGACGGTGATCCCTGACAAATAGGAAACGAGGTGATTTCTACAATTTCCCTGTATTAATGCTTGGAGAAAACAGTCAGGCTGTGCTTTAGGGAGACGAAGTCTAAAAGGGGCCTAGAAAACTCCCTTGCTTGTGTGGGTGACGCTGGTACTCCACGGAAGCAAGAGCAGCTGGATTTTACAGACTACAATGCTGGTGAGATGATAGCTACATAGAGAACTAAGGTGATCGATGTTCCTCCTAGAATTTTTTTAAATTTATTCACTTATTTTAATTTGACCAGAGAGAGACAGAGATCAGAGAAAGAGAAAGTGAGAAAGCAAGCCGCCAGGTCCAGGACTTGAACCATGGTTGGCGATGTGGGAGTGTCCACTGTCTTAACCACCACACCACCTGCTGGTCCCCAAACCTAATCTTTAATGTATTTACTTCCAATGGAAATTTGCAGGACAGGAACCGAAAAAATTTCAGGACATTCCAAAATCTGTGTGTATTCTCAAATGCAGAGCAAGGGTTGAGAACTGAGAAAAAGCTTTCCCACATTCATTCAACCATAGGGTTTCTCACCTGTATGGCTTCTCACATGCAGAGTAAGAGATGAACTCTGAGAGAAGGCTTTTCCACAAACATTGCATTCATAAGGTTTATCACCTGAATGAATTCTCACATGTACACTGAGTGATGTTCTTTGAGAGAAGACTTTGCCACATTCATTACATTCATAGGGTTTCTCTCCAGTGTGAATGTTTAGATGTTTTATGAGGTATTCCTTCTGGACAAAAGCTGTTCCACACTCACTACATTTAAAGGGTTTCTCTCCAATATGAATTTTCACATGCTCAGTAAGATTTGATTTCCACTAAAAGTTTTCCCACACTCTACATACAAAAGGCTTCTCTCCAGTATGAGTTCTGTGGTATCTGATGAGGTTTGACTTTTGAATGAAAGCTTTTCCACAATCTTTACACTCAAAGGGTTTCTCTCCAGTGTGAATCTTCTGATAGGTAAGGATGTTTTCCTTCTGGCTAAAGGACTTTCCACATTCATTACTTTCAAACAGCTTCTCTCCAGTATGGGTGTTCTGATGTTTAATGATATACTGCATTTGGCTAAAGGCTTTTCCACATTCATTACGTTCAAAAGATTTCTCTCTATTATGAAAATGCTCATGTTCAGCGAGATTTGATTTGTGGCTGAAGATTTTCCCACATACCTTACAGGCAAAGGGGTTTTCCCAACTATAAGCTCTCTGCTTACTTAGGTGTGACATCTGAATGGAAGCTTTCCCACATTCACAAGGTTTCTCTCCAGTATGAACTTTCTGATGAATGAGGAATTACTTTTGGCTGAAGATATTTCTACATTTCTTACATTTATAAGGCTTCTCTGTGTATTACCTCTCAAGTCTTGTTGCCTCTCTATCTGCTCAACATCTTCTCAGGCTTCTTCTAGACAGACTTTCTTTCCACTTTTTTCTGCACCATCCAGTTTGTTTTCTTGCTTCAACAAATTATCACATATATTTTGGTCCCCTTATAACCTGCTATTAGGGAAATGACACAGCACTACAGTGTTAATGCTGGGGCCAAAGTACCATTCTAGAATGCAGGCTGTTCCCCAGGGCTTCTGAAACTTCTAATGGATGAGTAAGATTAAGTTTCTAAGGATTCAGGAGGAAATGGCCCTCCTACTTTCATGCCACGTGGATCCAGGGGCTGTGCTGACCTGCAGACAAAGACCAAAATGTCCACTCCCTGGGCTGCGCCTGCACACTGCTTCTCCTAGAATATTCAGCTGAGTAATAACCAGCTTATGTATATGAAGATATTATCAAAGGTTGGCAAAACAACCTGAAAGGCTTAGATAGAATAACTCCAGGATTCATGACGGGTTAGTGTCTATTCCCACCATCCTCAGTAGAATAATATATAGTTCCTAGGACATGGGGTAAAGTATTGGATCACCAGAAAAGTCAGGACATATGAGCCTGGTACATCTGAAGGCATCTGGCAGCAAAGGACAGAGGCAGGGGCAACACTGTCCCCACTGCCTCCCATCCAGACACCCCAGTCCAGGATTCATCCAGAACCATAGACTGTCCATTTGGCTGTAGCAGCCAGCAGCCTGGTACATCTGAAGGAATCTGGCAGCAAGAGACAGAGGCAGGGGCAACACTGCCCCCACTGCCTCCCATCCAGACCCCCAAGTCCAGGATCCACCCAGAACCATAGGTAAGTAGACAGTTTCTCTGAAGGCATCTGGTGAAATCGTGTAATGCACTAATGCATGATGCACGACTTTTTCTTTATTCCCCTCTCTCCTCCTTTCTTTTCCCTTATATTATCTTCTCTTCCTCTTCTTCCATCTTGCCAGAAGGACTACCTAGGTCTAGATTCAGAGATCTGAAATTTTCTAGTCATATAAAATTTGTATTCTATGGGTCCCTCCCTTATATGGAGCCAGCTGTAAAAAAGGAGATAATGCTCTTCAGACACCTAAATAGAGTATGTTTTTTGAGACCACATTACTAAAAACAACAGAACAGAGACTTTGGCAGACGTCAATGCACAACAAAAGGTACATGCACTCCTAGCCAGTGAAACATTCTCCTGACAGCTACTTAAAAGTTAGTGCAATTTTCAATGACTAGAAGTAGAAGAAGAGCCTCAGGTACAAATAAACAAGGAAATATATATCCATCAAAGGTACAGAGAAACTCCCCTCCCTCTTTCATGCTAATGGATGGTGTTACCAAAATGTCAGACAAAGAATTTTGAACATTTATAGTGCACAAATTCTTTGAATTGGAACAGAAAAGAGACAACAAACTACAAGAGATGAGGAAGTCATTCCAAGATATAAAAGAAGAAATGGACACTCTGAGAAAGAACCAAATGAAGATTTTAGAGATAAATTCTGGAATAGAGAAAATCAAAAACTCCATTGAAAGTATAAAAAAATCGATTAGACCATGCTGAAGATCACATCTCTGATGTAAAACCTCTGACATAGAAAAAAAAAACACAAAAATGAAAGAGAAAATAACAACAACAACAACAAAACATGAGGACAATATATGAGAAATATTAGAATCCATAAGACACCCAAATATCAGAATAATTGGCATCCCAGAAGGTGAAGAAACTAATAACGGCATGGAAAATCTATTCCATGAAATCCTGGAAGAAAATTTCCTGAGTCTAGAGAGGCACTCAAGCATCCAGACCCAAGAAATACAAAGGAACACAATTAGAATCAACTACAGATTATCTTCCCCAAGGCACATCTTAGTCAGACTATCAAAGACCAAAGATAAAGACATGATGCTAAAACTGGCAAGAGAGAAACTAGAAGTGACATAAAAGGTCATCCCATCAGGCTAACTCCAGACCTCTCAACAGAAACAATGCAAGCAAGGAAAGAATGGGAAGATGTACTGAAAGCGCTAAGAGAGAAACAATTTCAACCAAGATTATTGGATCCTGCAAGATTATCCTTCATATGGGAAAAAAAGATTAAAATCTTCTCAGAAAAATAAGACCTGAAAGAATTTGCCAACGCCAGACTAGCTCCTCAAGAAACTCTGAAGAAAGCACTGTTCCAGGAAAACTAAAGAACTAACAGACAGAAACAAAGGAATAAAAGGTTGTTGTGACAATGGCCAACTTAAAGGTCGGGACAGATCCAGTTACATCAATAATAACATTGAATGTTAATGGATTAAATTCTCCAATCAAGAAATACAGACTGGCCGAATGGATAAAAAAAAACAGAGACCTTCTATCTGTTGCCTACAGGAAACCCACCTCGTCGATAAAGACATACATAGACTGAAAGTTAAGGGTTGAAAAAAGGTTTTCCATGCAAATGGGAACCAAAAAAGAGCTGGAGTGGCGATACTAATTTCTGACAAAATAGGCTTTAAAACAAAAACTGTTCAAAGAGACAAAGAACACTATATTGTAGTAAAAGAATCATTAGATCAAGACATAACTCATAAATATCTATGCACCTAACACAGGAGCACACAAATATGTGAAGAAAAGACTGTTAGATCTAAAAGGGAGACAGACTGCAATACACAAATTGTTGGAGACCTCAACACTGCACTATTCTCTTGGGAGAGATCATCTAGACAAAAAATAGATAAAGAGATAAAGAATCTGAATGATACCATAAATGAAATGGACTTAACAGACATCTATAGAACTTTCCATCCAAAGCCCACGAGATACACTTTTTTCTCACTCCCACATGGAAGCTTTTTGAAGATTGACCACATCATAGGGCACAAAGCAAGCCTCTCCAGATTCAAAGGCATAGAAACTATTTCCAGCAACTTTTCTGACAATAATAGAATTAAACTTGAGTTTAATTTCAAGAGAAATCCTCAAAAATACTCAAATACATGGAAACCAAATAACCTACTACTGAATGACTCCAAAACTACTGATGAAAACGCAAGAGACAGAGGCAGGGGCAACACTGCCCCCACTGCCTCCCATCCAGACACCCCAGTCCAGGATTCATCCAGAACCATAGACTGTCCATTTGGCTGTAGCAGCCAGCAGCCTGGTACATCTGAAGGAATCTGGCAGCAAGAGACAGAGGCAGAGGCAACACTGCCCCCACTGCCTCCCATCCAGACCCCCAAGTCCAGGATCCACCCAGAACCATAGGTAAGTAGACAGTTTCTCTGAAGGCATCTGGTGAAATCGTGTAATGCACTAATGCATGATGCACGACTTTTTCTTTATTCCCCTCTCTCCTCCTTTCTTTTCCCTTATATTATCTTCTCTTCCTCTTCTTCCATCTTGCCAGAAGGACTACCTAGGTCTAGATTCAGAGATCTGAAATTTTCTAGTCATATAAAATTTGTATTCTATGGGTCCCTCCCTTATATGGAGCCAGCTGTAAAAAAGGAGATAATGCTCTTCAGACACCTAAATAGAGTATGTTTTTTGAGACCACATTACTAAAAACAACAGAACAGAGACTTTGGCAGACGTCAATGCACAACAAAAGGTACATGCACTCCTAGCCAGTGAAACATTCTCCTGACAGCTACTTAAAAGTTAGTGCAATTTTCAATGACTAGAAGTAGAAGAAGAGCCTCAGGTACAAATAAACAAGGAAATATATATCCATCAAAGGTACAGAGAAACTCCCCTCCCTCTTTCATGCTAATGGATGGTGTTACCAAAATGTCAGACAAAGAATTTTGAACATTTATAGTGCACAAATTCTTTGAATTGGAACAGAAAAGAGACAACAAACTACAAGAGATGAGGAAGTCATTCCAAGATATAAAAGAAGAAATGGACACTCTGAGAAAGAACCAAATGAAGATTTTAGAGATAAATTCTGGAATAGAGAAAATCAAAAACTCCATTGAAAGTATAAAAAAATCGATTAGACCATGCTGAAGATCACATCTCTGATGTAAAACCTCTGACATAGAAAAAAAAAAACACAAAAATGAAAGAGAAAATAACAACAACAACAACAAAACATGAGGACAATATATGAGAAATATTAGAATCCATAAGACACCCAAATATCAGAATAATTGGCATCCCAGAAGGTGAAGAAACTAATAACGGCATGGAAAATCTATTCCATGAAATCCTGGAAGAAAATTTCCTGAGTCTAGAGAGGCACTCAAGCATCCAGACCCAAGAAATACAAAGGAACACAATTAGAATCAACTACAGATTATCTTCCCCAAGGCACATCTTAGTCAGACTATCAAAGACCAAAGATAAAGACATGATGCTAAAACTGGCAAGAGAGAAACTAAATTGGCAAGAGAGAAACGACAAGTGACTTACAAAGGTCACCCTATCAGGCTAACACTGGACTTCTCAACGGAAACAATGCAAGCAAGGAAAGAATGGGAAGATGTACTGAAAGCGCTAAGAGAGAAACAATTTCAACCAAGATTATTGGATCCTGCAAGATTATCCTTCATATGGGAAAAAAAGATTAAAATCTTCTCAGAAAAATAAGACCTGAAAGAATTTGCCAACGCCAGACTAGCTCCTCAAGAAACTCTGAAGAAAGCACTGTTCCAGGAAAACTAAAGAACTAACAGACAGAAACAAAGGAATAAAAGGTTGTTGTGACAATGGCCAACTTAAAGGTCGGGACAGATCCAGTTACATCAATAATAACATTGAATGTTAATGGATTAAATTCTCCAATCAAGAAATACAGACTGGCCGAATGGATAAAAAAAAACAGAGACCTTCTATCTGTTGCCTACAGGAAACCCACCTCGTCGATAAAGACATACATAGACTGAAAGTTAAGGGTTGAAAA